GGTTGAGTGTTGAACCAACCTAAGGTACAGACTAAAGTTGAATCCTAACAGGTTTGTCTATGAGTTTGAGTTTTTTTTCAACAGTGCTTTCTATATGATTTTTTTGGGATATATAAGTTTCTTCCTTATGCAATTTCATATCTCCTAGGTCATCACCTCTTATATTTAACAGTAGATTTTTAATCAAGAACAATCTAAGATTTTATCATAGAGTCGAAAGTAGAAATTATCATTTCTATATGATTTTTTTGGGATATGTAAGTTTCTTCCATATGCAATTTTCATATCTCCTAGGTCATCACCTCTTATAGTTAACAGTAGATTTTTAATCAAGAACAATCTAAGATTTTATCATAGAGTCGAAAGTAGAAATTATCATTTCTATAATTTTTTTTTGGATATGTGTATGATACATAACTATGTGTGCAACACTATTTACAAGTGAGAATACTATACATAACTCATTCCACTCTCAAAGATGGAAAGTTTTTTTTGTCATTCCATCATGAGGTTTTCTATGCATAGATAGTTATTAGAAGCTTTAACTGCCCTATCTCTGATCTCACAAGAAACTAAAAGAATCCATTACAATCAAGTAGTTTTATATGCTGCTCCGATGTTCATCTTTAATTTTAGCACTCAAAGTCCTTAGACTTGACCCCAGTATACTCATTTTAGGCCAGTTTTCATCTTTTTCTTCCTTTGTCTTCTGTCAGTTGATCATTTCGTTAACTGATTTCATGGGCTTCATCAAAGCAGTTAACAATTCCGTCTTCTGGAGTATGATGACGAACCGCATCTCATGACATGACGAGTGGGATTAGGTTTTTGTCAACTGTCGGAAGAGTTAGTTTTTAGGTTTGTCTGCATCATTAGTTATACATATGGAATATCGATGCCCTGTTTGAGCTAGAAATTTTCAAAGTTGATTGGACCGAGACGAAAAGCATGCCAAACATGCATGAGAATTTGTATAGATCATAAATTTACAGAGATGGTAAATGGTAAATGGTATAAATACCAAACTAAGGAAAGTCGCATGGGATGATGGGCTTCAAGCATGCAAGCAGCGCATCTACTGTTGGACATTCCACCACTCCTCTACAATGACGCACAAAGCTTATTAGTTAGAGTATAAGTCATAGTTTATTGTAGCCAAGAGTGGAGAAAAAACATGTGGAATATTCTGTATTCATTTTCGTGTGTGGAATAATAAGAGCCAACGAACAAAGTTAGGTCCGGGTACTGCAGAACAAATTTAATGGTGTAGGTCGAGGCGACCAGAGACGAGCAGCACATTTATGCGGACGGGAAACATTGAGATTTGCTAGGAGACTGACCGAGTCAAGATTTGTAAGTGTACTTTTGCAGACTTGGTCAGCTCCTCCGGTCCACTGTTGTTCTCAAACCATGCATTCCACAGCACAGGCTCTCTTTTTCAGAACTGCTCAGTCGACAAATGTCCTCGCGCTGATTCATTCATTGCCCATCTTCTGATTACAGGTGATAAGTCAGGAGTGGAGCTTGTGCCTGTTCACAATCCACCAAAACCTGACTGCTATTTTCCACCTGGTCCAGTCGCTTCTGGATTAGACAATATGTTCAGTGACGCCCTTCCGTTTATTCAACTAAAAATATTGCAGTTCAAGGATCGGAGTTTGCCATGGTGAGTGAGAGAGAGAGAGAGATAGATGTATCTCTCTTAATATGATGGAGATAAAAATAAACAATGTATCTTGTAGGATGGCTTGTACCGAACAAACTTTGGTCACAGCTCGGGGCATACTTAATGAGCAACAGTGCAAAATATGTTGCTATTGCAGGTACAGTTAGCTCATGATCTTGGGGTCAGAGTTTTGTTATTATTTTCACCTGCCATTACTGAAGGCGTTTCTCAGCTTCTGCTTCGCTTGCACACTTCACTTGCAAATGGGATACAGTGGTTGCATGGCTGGACTCTACCCAATGATATGTTGTACTGCTGTGGTATTTTAACTCCAAACACTCCTGAGGGTTTTTAAGAGAAAAGAAACTCTCAACTGTGTTTCGGATTGACACATATCTCCTACAAATATGTCACGCGGGGCAGTTTCGATAGATTATTGTTGGAATATCATCATTGTGAGACCATTATGTGAGTTCTGCCTCTGCTATGAGTACAACTCAATACCTTTAGACTCTACTTGGATAGCTAGCATTCCTCTTTTGCCCTCGCAAACCCATGAGACTCAGAGGTCAATTTCGATCCATTTAGTATGTACTTAGAACGATGTATGTATGTATTTCTGATATGTATAATCGTACATAAGCAGAAATAAGACTGTGAAAAAACATGAAAATTCGACGCACATAGTTCCAAATTCATGAAAGTAACTGTCAGGAATTAATTCTAACGGGGGAGTACAAGTGAATCAGCTGTAGTTCAATAGACCTTGTCCTTCACAAGATTCCAAATCGGTAGGTGTGACTCACTTGAATTTCAATGAACACTATGCAAACTCGCATGTGGGGAAGATGGAAGGATAACAATGAGTTTAGATAAACCTCGAATATCTGTAAAATATCCTCGTCTCCTTACTGTGTCTTTCTCTACTACAACATATGACAATCCTCTGTTTCTTATGATGGAAACGGCCAAAAAGAAGGGCGTACACTTTCTAAATTGCAACACAAAGACAAAGTTTACGAAACAACTTTTCTAGTGCATGTGTAAATGAATGGGACAAGGTGATTAAATTAGTTTGCTGAGGATCCCACATGTCACTGGGTCAAAGCGATAGAGCAAAGCACACGTTTTGCAAAAACTGGGCGTTAGAAAGTCATACAAGCTGTAAAGAGAAGTTTTCGAAAAGTTATCTGTCTTTAACAAGTCAATAAGTGTTCGGCTGTGCGTGTGAACTGGTGTTCGAGTCATGTTATTGGAAGTCGAATCAGCTCATCGACAAATCTCACCGTCACTGACTCGCGGTCTCACACAAACAAAGACTTTGGCTAACCAGTCCATTTCTCTTCTATCTACTCCATGTTCTCCTTCGCCGCTGCTGGCACCAGTCCACTAAACTCCACGCCACAATGTGGACGAAGTGCTTATCGTCAACCTTGTGCGTGGGGTGTTCTTCCTCAGTGGCTCAGACAATGACATTGTGCACATTCGGCCCAACTTTCTTAGCCCTATAATTCTAGATGCATATGAAAAAAAGAGTATTGAGGTCGGTTCTTGTCAGTGAGTAAATCATGCAGTATGAATCAGCAGGGCTCGATCATGTGCTCTTGTGACGCGCTCTACTCTAACACTGTACTGTACCTATCCTGAACTCGTAGAAGTCGATCTGATTCGATCCCGATCAGGATGACAAGATAGGTTCAAGCGAGCAGCAGCAGTCCATAGATCCATAGTCCATGACTCCATGGGCCAGACTCGGGTCGTGTATTGTACACTTTCTTCGAAACTGGGAAGTTTGGAAACCCTTCTACTGTATTACGTACGTGAGTGTTTTAATCCTACCATCTATGATCATTTTTGTACCAATGATTAGGAATGCAAGTCTTTATTCTTCTTTCCTCGAGATGGAAGGTCTTGAAATACTGTACTCGGAGTTGGCGTGCACGAGGAAGTGTAGCGGATTCATTATTGTCCTTTCGAGCTCTCGGAGACTGACGTCCATGGAGAAGAGCTTTCTATGAGCATAAAATGCAATTAGCGCTTTGGGCTAATCACATTCATGGGCATAGAAGAGAATCTGAGTCATTCAGTTTAATCACCTCCCGCCAGATGATGAACATTCGAGCATTAATCTCGAAGAGTTTGATGATGAATGATGCATGCCACCAACAGATAACGCAAGCGGGCTAAAGCCAGGTCACCCCATGGGCCTGCCAACTGTAGTCTACTTACCGCTCAGAGCCGCGCCGTAGCTATAGTTGGAGGCACAACAAAATTTCTTGGGGCATGCCCATGCCCCCTTTCAAGATCAAAAGTCATGCCCCAAGCCCCCAGGCATGCCGTATAACAATACGTACATTTACCGTATCATAAAATATACTTCTAAGTAAATAAAGTACTAAGTAGGATGTTTGAAAGCTTAAAAGGCAGAAAATACTAGAGTAGAATCTCCAAGTGAAAACAGTTTTATTTCCTCACTTATCCCACATTCTATTTCTCTAAAATATAGGTCTGTAACTCTATAGTATACATATACAATTTTTAATACATACAGGCATGCCTCGTATGGAAAATGCGAATGAGGCATGCCCGTGGGCATGCCCCCGTGCCCTCGCCCCGGGGCATGCCCTTGGAGGTTGTGCCTCCAACTCTAGCCGTAGCCGACGCAGCCCAAGGCTGTACGTAGTCTCTTCGTGGCAAGTTGCACATATAGCTGGGCGGAGTGAAGGAACAAACTATGTACCCGTGTGATGGTCGAAAGTTAGTAGGTCGTACGTCCTTTGACTTCTCTCGTCTGTAGGACTCGAGTTTCCACGTGATAGAGTACCTTCCCATGTTCTTCTTCAGTTGGTACTTCTCATACGGTCTGACGAAAGATCCGACCATACAAGAACAGAGCCCGACCTTATCAGCTCGGTCCTGTGTGCTATGCTAGGACCCGCGACCGGACACATGGCCATGTTCCGCTTGAGAACAGGCATGGCATGAGAGGCTACCAAGGCTACCAAGAACGTGAGCCTACAGGGCCAGAGGAAACGGGCAGAGCGCAGGTAATGCGAGGGTGTTGGCCCAAGGTGTCCCTGGAGCGGAGGCGTTACAGCAGGTTTGCGTCATGACGTTTGCGTCGAGATGACGGGTAGGGGAGCGGAGGGAGGCGGGCGGGAAGCGAGGAACATCGAAAGCGTGATGACGGACGGATGGATGGATTTGGATCATCGGCTAATGGGACGTCGAAGAGAACAGAACGGTTAAGCCGATGAACGGGACGGGATTGCGGAGATACGATAAATCATGGCAGGGCAGGGCAGGGCAGAGGGGTCTTAAAGTTCCTGAGGAAGAAAGTCTCCACGTCGTCCCTTCCACGAAAGTGCCGCGGATATAGGACCGTCGAGGACGACGATATGCCAGAGTTTCGCCTTCGCTCTCCTCAAGATTCAGATTCAGACGAGGATCGAAGGGAAGGAACACGAAGCCGAAGCTCATTGCAACAGTTATGGATGCGAGCGACACTCACGGCGAATAAATTAGCTTGAATCATGGAGACGTAATTGAGAATCGGGGGTAAAGAGAATCGGACTTCTTGACTTCTCTCCTGTCTGTCTGTGCCCAGTCACGCACTCGAGCAGCTGCCACTGATACGATGGAGGATCATACAACAGTACTGCCTAACTACGGAGCCCGCGCGCCATGAAAGCCACGCGACTCGACCCCGCACTGGTTACAAGTTAATCATGGGAATTTCTTGCCTACGTCAGGTACTTACCTACGACGACGGCCAGACAGAGAGGCAAATCAGCAGCAACAACAGCGCTTAGCGTTGCGCCCAGAGTGAATGAAATACAGAATGATTAGAGGTGGAGAGCGAGAGCGAGAGGCCGATGGATTCGTTTCGTTGCCGCGAGCCGCGTCGTTTACTGCTCCTGTCCCCGCACGGCTTCCCCTCCCAACAGCAGAGCCAGGCGGGCCGGTGGGCGGGCGGACTAGGAGCTGTGCTGGAGAAGCGGAGGCGAATCGAATCTCAAGATAAGACAAGAGGAGGCTTACTTCTCCATGCCACTTATTACGATGTTCTCTACGGTGCCAGAAACCGAGCAGCACAACGTAAGCTTAAACAGGAGGAGAAGAGGAGAAGAGGCGGGGCACGGGCTCGGAGGCTTCTTGATCAGTGGATTGAACACAATACGTTGGAATCAGCTACCTGCCCCACACACGGCAAGGGTCGGCTCGACATGAGCGCAGAGTCGAGGCAATCCTGAGTCACCAGCACACGACGCAGGGCCAGGCCAGGCCTTCCTCCTACATCTGTCGGCCTACCTGGTTTGTATGCGAACAGTACAGGATCTTGTGTATGTGCATGCAAGCACTGACCGCATTTATGACTCGACGAGAAAGCAGAAGGTATCCAAAGCGTGTCCGTTTGTTGCGAGTGTGCGCTTGCACCCGCTAAGCGTTCCATAATTTAAGGCCCATCTGACCGGCGAATGGAAACAGTTGAGCGCATACTTCGCTCCCCGGTGTCTGACACCTTTGACTCGAGTGCTGTAGTCCAAGCAAAGCCCACTTATGCAATCGGAGATTTGCCACTCCAGATACGCCTCGCGCAGCTATGCATGAGGCGCTCTTGAGAGCCGTTGCAAGTAAACCAAGAGTTTTGGCATCAATAACCGCTCCAGGGTCCAGACAGCCCGATCTGTCCACCCCCAACAGTAGGGCTCGTCAGCGTTTCAGATGGGAAATCCCCGTATTTTCGCGGCTAAATATGCCTGAGCGCAGGTGCGCACGCTCCGCGCAAGGTTTGCGGCACGGCACACTCGTCGAAAAGTGCTCTTTGGGTCCTAAACTCGACCCCCGGCCCCGAGCTCCCGTGCCCCCTTTCACGAGCTCAGAACCGAGATTAGGATAACGTCCACTCTCCAACACGAAGTCCGTAATGAACATTACAACAGCAACAGCGTTCTAGTGCGTACTAGTACTTCGAGGCTGCGCAACTGTCCCCGGCACTACGGACTTGCAAAGCAGATCAGATCATAGAACCTTGGCGTTGAGCCTACTACGGCCCCCCGGCAAGTACCATGCCACGGTTAGGTGAGAGGCAATCATCAGACCTCCATGCCAGCATTGGAGAATTGTACTTGTGACCATGACTGATGAAAAACACCACATATTTACCAATTGCACTCGAGTAGACAGACAAGGTCGCAATGTACACTGGGAGAAGTGACTTTGCTTGCATGATAGTATTGTCAAACTTAACCAGTGAGCTGATTCCTTATCAATCAAATGAACAAATCTGGTTGTAAATCTGAGTAAATGGGGTTCTAATCGTACAAAAAGTTCTCAGACCTGTGCGACGTGCAGTAGGTAGCTAGTGCCAGATAGCTGACCTTCATGTACATAACAGGGGCCCCTGTACAAGTATGTTTTACAATCATGGGTGAGTTTCTAATTAGCAGACCTTTGTTGGCACAGGTTGATTTCCCGAAATCCCAATTATCGTTTCTCGCTACTTCTCTCGAACTCTCCACTAAGCTAATAACGGTGTCTCGCTCGCTGTCGATACAGCGGCGACTCGCTCTACAGACGGTTTCCTGCGGGACAGGAAGTAGGGAGGAGATGGGGAAAACTCAAAAGGCAGCGATGGCAGATCAGATTCTCCCAAAAGAATTTTCACCACCTCCCCCATCGTGGGTCGAACGGCTGGCAGCCTCTGCAAGCAAAGAAGAGCGACGGTAATGCACAGCACAGCCTGCTCCTTGGAATATTGGCCCTGAAGCATGCCGTCAACCAAATCCAGAACATTGCCGGATTGCGCCAGGTGCCTCGCCCACGAGATTAAATTGGCCCGTTCGAACTCGACAATAGGGGAAGCCATGACTTGAAGAGGCCTTCTGCCTGAAATGATGACCAACATCAGCACGCCAAAACTGTACACATCACTCTTCTCCGACAGAATGCCGCCGCCTCCATACTCGGGAGCGACGTAGCAGATCGTTCCTCGCATGCTGGGCGTGCTGCTCACAGCCGCTCTTCCCAGCAGGTCTCCGCTGAACCAATCTCTACTGCGCGATTTCTCCCTCGTTCGCTCCTTCTTCAGCTCCCCGCTGTGCCTGACATGCCTGCTGGAATTCGTGCGGCTCAGCTCACCGCTGTTCTCTTCCCTCCACCACTCGCGGCTCTTGTTCTTCTCTCGCCTGCTGCCTTCTCGGCTCAGAGACAGCAGGGGACCGCTTTTGGGCACTTTGTTCTTGCCTAGATCGCCGCTAAATTCCTCCCTCCACCACTCCCGGCTCTTCGTCTTGCCGAGCTTAGATGAATCACGGCTCTTGCTCTTGGCCAATTCTCTCTTGCTCTTGCCGACGTCGCCGTCCTCCTTCCACCACTCGCGCATTGTGTACTTGTCCTTATCCCGCTTCCCTTCCTTCTTCTTTCCACCCGTCAGCTCGCCGCTAAACTCCCCCCAGCCACCATCGGAGCCAATGGAGCTCCTGGAATGATTTCTCTTCAGTTCGAGCTTCTTCTTGTTCTCGAATCGTCGGCTTTCCGAAACGGGGGTTACCGAACCGCTACTGTCATGGAATCCAGCCCAATCTCTGATGCTCCCAGGAGACTTCCTCTTGCTTTCGGACGGACCGGACTTGGGGGTCCAGTTGATGAAATCCTTGATGGTGAGCTCGCCGCTGGTCGTGTCCTGCCTCCACCACCAATCCCGGCTCCACAATCGCCTCTCCTTGTAAATTCCGCTCGTTCCCAAGTGCAGTTCTTTTCCCCCGCTCTCGACACTCACGTCGTCCCGGTAGCCTTCCGACGGACTGATGGTGCTCCAGCCTTCGGGCTCCGTCTCCTCTTTGACGGAGGCGTCGGGTACGTGGAATACGACCTCGTCCTCCTTGGCGACCTGCTTGGACGAGGTGCTGCAATCGGTCTCGACCGGGGGCGAAAAGGTCGCGCTCATGTCTATTTTCACTTCTTCAGGACTGCCAGCTTCGGAAGAAGCGACCACCACCTCTCCGATCTCCCCATTGTTGCTGGCCGGGCTCAAAAATTCTCTAATTGGACTATCGTGCTGTACGGAGGGCGAGGATTCCGCGATCGAAGGGGAGGGTTGCATGGACAAAGGGGATTGTTGTACCGAACGGGAGAACTCTGCCTGATGTACTTCCTCGTCGGCCACTGTTGTCGGAGGGGAGCCCTGGGCTGCGTAGTTGTCCGCTCCTGCTGGCTCGTCCGGGACGATGGACTCCTGCACAGACGGGGCTGGGCTGCTATCCACGGCAATTGTCAGCTCCTTCAAGTAATCGCTCTGCTTTGGGGAAGCTGCCATGCTGCTGCTTTCGTCCATCCTACCGAGCGGGCTCTTTTCCAGAGTGCCCTCCCACCTTTTCTCAGGACTCGCATCGGATTTCTTATCAGGGCTCGCATCGGAAGACTTGACGTCCGGGCTGGCTGCCATGCCCATGGCCTTCTTCCGCTCCGCTTCCTCCCGTCTCCTGAGTGCCCTGCGGGCTCGCTCTCGTTCAATGCGCTCGTACCTAATCCTCTCGCGCTCCATGTGCTCTCTCTCCACCTCCTCGCTGCGCACAGCTGGCCCCGTTTCCTCGGACTTGAGCCTTGCGAGGCCGAAGTCCGCAATCCTAGCACAGAAATGCTTGTCGAGGAGTATGTTGCTCGGCTTCACGTCGCCGTGAATGATGGGCGGGTCGCATTTGTAGTGCAGGAAGGCCAGGCCGCGGGCCGTATCGAGGAGGATTTTGAAGCGCGTATTCCAGTCCAGACTGGCGGCATACATCTCATCAAAGAGAGCTTCCTGCAGACTCCCATTTTCCATGTACTCGTAAACGAGCAAGCGTTTCTTGCCATCCACGCAGTACCCCAACAGGCTAACAATGTGAGGAGAGTTGACCCTGCCAATTACCGAAACCTCGTTCTGAAACTCCCTCTCCCCTTGCAGGGACGTAGTGTCGAGCTTCTTGACCGCGACATCCTTGCCATTTTTCAGGGTACCCTTATACACAACTCCGAACCCGCCTTGTCCAAGTCTCTGTGTCGGATTAAAGTTCTCGGTCGCAAGTTTGAGCTCCCTGTATGCGAACTTCTGTAATTTAACAGTGCTAGCTTCGTAAGGACTTGTTTTGCTGCCTCTGAGCTTTCGATACAGAACCAGGAAGAATGCCACGAGAAAAATAAGAGCCCCTCCCCCGCCTCCGATCGCCAAGCCCAGTATCAATGTCTTGTTATTCGACTTAGAAACCGACAGCCCCGGTGCTGAATTCGGTGGTGGAATAGTTTGGAAAAGCTGCCTCGTTGGCATGCTGGCCAGAGTAGCTCCTCGTTTCAGTTCTCATGCGCTCCGCTCTCGCAAGCTCCTCTGTTCTCGTTCTTTACCGACTTCCTACTTTCTCCAACGCTTCTTGCACTCAGTGGTCGTCGCCCAGTGTCTATGCACTAGAAATCAGCACACTGGCTTCACTTCGCCTCACCTCACCTCACCTCATCTACCCTTCCTCCCAGCACGACTCGCCTTCAGCCATCCTCACCTCGTCGCTCGCCCCACGGAACCAAACTCGGTCTCTCTTGCCTTCTGCGCGCCTCGCCCACACACACAGACAAAGCAACAAAACAGAAGACTCCCACTAGTCCCTCCTCCGTTGGCAGACCACAAAACAATCATATCCTGCGTCAATGCCGATCTCTCTTCCCACTTCTCTGGGTCCCTCCCTCTCACTTCGAGCACCAACTACTCCACCAAGTCCACGACATTTTCAGCATCTGAGATAGCACCTCGCTTCGTCAACCGAACAACCAACCGAACCAATCTGATTCCTCCACGACGCTTTTTCGCGCAGCTCCACCAGCAGCACCAGCAGCATTACTAGAACTGGCAGTGGAGAGAAATGAGAGAAAGAAACAAAGAAAACAAAAGAAAGAAGGCCCCGGAAGTCTGTCAGTCAGTTCCTCCTCCTCCTCTTTCCTCCTCGTCTCTCTCGCTTCTCGGAAACTCTCCTTCGTCTCTGCTCTGCTCGACAAAGAAGGCCAGACATGGACACAGACGCTCACTCTCGCTGCAACAACGAGACAGAAACCTCCTCCGACCCCACTCGCGACTGTCTACTACACTGCGCTCCCTTGCAGATGATGACGGGCCGGGCACAATTGGAATCGGCGTCGCTACAGAGAGGTCTTCCGCGGGCCAGAAAAGATAAAACAATTCACACGTAAGGCGAAGGGAATCCACGCCTCACAGCCCAGGATCTAGCTCCAGAAACAGCGTGGGTGACCGGGTAGCTTTCTACAGTCCCCTTGGGCTCTGATGCTCGTCGAGCCATTCTTGCCCGGCCCACCCAGCGATGCTGGAATCAACCGGCCCGTGTCGGTGCAAACCTGCTAAATTTAGAGCGTGTGGCATTAATATAATAAGACAAAAATAAGCAACCAAAGGACAGGCAAGAGGGAAAGCGAAAAGAAAGATTACCCTTCTTACGCACGGAGGAACTGGCCAGCGTGGGACACTTGCGCTTAAGAAAAAACTCTAAATTTAGAGACCGTGAGAAAGAGGAACCTTCAGCAGGTTGGGGAGGCAGGACCTTCCTCCTCCTCTTCCTCCTCTCAACGTGCCTGTCCCCAAATCCTCCCCCAGTGAGTACTGTACTTCACGCTGTACCTGGGGGTCCTACTGTCTCGAGGCCTTTCTTTTTCTAACTAGAGAGAGATTGCGACTGAGATCAAAAGCATCCATCTCGTCCGGCGTGAGCCAGTGACCACAATCGGAAGGCTGAGAAGCTTCTGTCAAAGCCCCGTGCGCCGTTGATTGCGCATATTATGAGATTCCTATGTGGCGAAGGCTTTTGGGGGAAGACTAACACCGACCGCACTCGCCTTTTCTTTTCGCTGCTCCTTTCGCTTTAATGTTGACCCAACTCCTCTACTGGAATTGACGCCAACGTCCGTCCTCTGCTGGCGCTCTCTTTCTAGACGTTGGGATTCCCCTGCGAGAAACTGAGGTGAGCGAACGTTGTCCTTTACTTATTTAGGGTTGCTTTTTATGCAATTAGCCTCCCGTTGCCGCTTTCGCTACCGTGTCGATTGGAATTGGGATTTTCCATTCCACGATGAGGAAGATGCTGCCCAGCAAGAAAGGTGAGAGTTTCGCCGAAGCCTCGGTCTTTGTTGAAGTGATTCTGCGGATGTCGGCTTCAAATAAAAGCAATTCTTGATGCTTGGAGATGTAATGTCGTTGAAACGGATGTTGTAATTCCCATCTTGGTGGAATTATTATAGGGTGCATGGAACCTGGAGAGAGGAAGTCATTCTTCTATCATGTGTGTACTGAATCGGTCTGAGTGGCGACCATCTACATGAATCTTTCCCTTACATGCACGAGACTGGAGCCCACCTCGTGAAACTACACGTTCAGTCCAGTGGAACAAAGGCCGCAAATAGAAACCTTCGTTGCGTCCCTTGGCACAAGTTCGCAGCAAGATGTGGGGCGACTGTGTAAAAGATGGGTCAACAAAGCCCAGAGATAGGAGAGGTATCTATGAGGTACTACTATTTTGGTTTGAGAAAGAAGTACGACCGTAAGATGTATGGAGGTTTAATTTCTCAACGAAAGTCGACAACTTGACTACGGTTATTTATCGGAAAGAGACATAACAAGCAAACTGCTGAAAATTGGCAGGGATTTCAGATCAGACAATTAAAAACTAGTTCTCGATGTCATGAAGTGCTGTAACGACTAGAGTCCCGAGATTATAGTTTTCCACTGGGTTTGACAGCATCAAAATTCTCAAAGATACAGTTTCTCTATATCGCATCATGCAAGTGTCCTAGTTAATACTAGTATGATATGTGATACCATAGAAAGTAGTAAAAGCTAATATGATATGGAAAAGCCTTTTGAAGTTTTTTTTTTCCAAATACTATCCAAAATTTTAATCAAGACGTACAAATGGTAAAGGCAGATTGCTTATCTATCATAATCCAAGATATTGTCTTCAACGGTTGTCGATAAGTCGTAACACAAGAGCATCACGTCATCATCATCTTCATCTTCAACAGCCCCCATACAATATTGTATATCTAGCACGCATCTTCGGTGAGCAGGTGAAAAGTAGAGTTCTGCGTCCAGCGAAGTGCTCATTAGATCTCCAATAAGAATTGAACAAATCAAATTTCTGTGGTTGAAATCTTCATGACGTAGACCGATGAACTGTTTTCTGTTGGACATCGCTTGAAACTGGTGGACACTAGGAGTTTGAGTAGAAAGTTTCGTAGGAACTTTAAATGGAGGAGGTTTTTTCCTGCCTGCTTTGTTCCAAAACCCGCTTTTGGTTCGTTATTTCCAAATCATCTGGGGCTGGTGTCAAGATACGTCCGTACCCGAAACTTCCTTAAGAAATACCGCTTGGTTGTTGATTATACGGGCACGTTCTTTGCAGGTTCGTTTCAATATTGACGTGAGCTTGCTAAGAGTACTGCTATTCTCGAGAAAGACGGAGCAAGCAATTTGCACTAGACTGCATAATTGAAGTGAACTCCTCCTAATCCCTTGTCACGGTACGTAGAAGTGCATCGGAAATGTTATTAAAGAAGAAGAATTACAAATCTACTTTGGGTGCCAGTGATGAGAAGAGGACCGCACTCACCCGATTGTGGTCCTCCCACAGACCCGGGGGCTTGAACAATCAAAGTTTAGTGAATTAAAATGTAACAAACTTGTGAAGTATGCATAAAAACTAAATACAAACAGAATATGAGTACAGAGGAGACGACAAGGACTTGTTTTTTGATAGTAGAGCAAGAGATGAAACCCTTTTATGTGAATGATCTGATTTCTATGCAGTATTACATTGATTTTGTAAAGCCAGTATCTCATGTTCATCCGTTCCACAGCCCCACTGAAGAAGGATGGGAATCAGACGGAGACAACCTGTAAATCATCAGGATTGAAATAAACTTGTTTCTTGACGAATTAGTCCTAGATACTAAGCGTTTATCTCAAACCTACAGCCGTTCCTTCACAAGCAATGATATCTATCGGTGCCGTGAATGTGTTTGGCAGCATGAATTATGTTTCCTACTTTTTAGGATCACAGTTTGTGATCGATGACCGTCTATCATTTGACAGCCCAAAAGGGCCGAAAACTTTTCACTTGCTTCTAATCCTTGAAAACTGTGGGTATGATTGGTTGTCCAAGTGCTTCACGTTGTACATGAATCGTCTGCCCTCATACAACATTCCGAACGACGGTTCGTTGTGTAGCGTATTCACCTTGTCAAATACTCTGATAAATTACACGAAAAAATTTGCTGATTCCATAATAAACACTCATGTGTAGCCTCTCTTTGACACCAAATCTTTGACTTGATAATACAGTTTCGGTTGTGATGACACGGTGACACAAATGTGAAAATGAAACGACGCATCTTGATTATTGCATTGAAAATGAATTTGGTAATCGACAACATCCACGCCTTCTTCTTCTAGAAGGATGTGGAAGAATCTACAGGAGCTAACCAGTAAAAACGCATTGGATCACGAGAGAAAACTAACGTCTAAACCAACTCAGGATTCTGTTGACTTGAGCACTCATGCCCTGTCTCTTGTTGACCATACTCTGCTGAATGAGTGAATGTTTCAAGGCATATGAATAATAAAGTCTCGAGCCGAAGAAAGAATGGAAGCTCTATCACCCTATCCCTGTCCACGTTGCGGTTTCGTTGACATGGTCTTAACCACTGTGCCCTTCTGCTGTAGGTCGAAGGCACCACCACATTGCAGACCGTATCGCGCCATTCGTAGCACTATCTGTCCAAGCTACTAGCTGTAAGTGCTGATGCTTTGATTCTATGTCTTTGCACTAACGCCAAGATAGAGCTGCTTTGAGCTGCTTTGAATACTGATGATGCAGTTAGCAGGAGAAAAGCCTCTGTAGGTCTAACTAAAAAAGCTAGCAAAGAAGGAGTACATGTACGAGAAAAAATCTTGCAAAGATGGAAGTAGAAGAAGAAGAAAGTAAGGAAAGGGATTGTGAGGCATCAAGAATCGAAAGAAGAACAAAATCAGGATAAATGAAAGGAAAAAAACCAATGCTCGACGGATTAGCAACTTGAGCTCAGCAGATATCAGTTCTTTATCCCTCGGCATTTTTTATATATACTTTCTATCGTAAGTGACTGAAGGTACGATTAATCTTGAAAGAGGTTGGTTGGTTCACAACTTGTGCCCAAGCTTTCACTTAATGCATTCTATTCCCGACCTTTGTGGCAGAATACCCGCAATGGGCTTATCGAGACTGAAGTTCAAGAATAACTTCCTGGACGTGCGAATCAGTGCAGCGGTGGTGGAATGAATCAGGTGAAGTACAAGGAAATAGCTCGTGGATGGATGATTATCTTCTAGGCACTCGTTTAAGTAACCGCCACAAGCTATTACAGGGTACACGAATGACAGTAGCAGTTGGTCTACTCCTTCCCTTAGAATTATGGATCTGCATATACTACCCGGGCACGTTCAGCAACTAAGACGGACGGAATCGACCAGAGGAAGCAATGGTCAATTCTATGCGTGATATCCTCATGCGTTTGGCAATAGTTCCCTTGACGGATGTGCAAGTCCCAATGTGAGTTAACTCTCTGAAGACATTCCAAGTAGAGAACGGTGCCGTCGTTTGATCCTGTCACTCAAAAAATAAATCAACTCAATGGACCCTGTAACTTAAACTTCATCTCCTCCAGAAGTGTTCGTTGCTCTTCACTGTAGTTAAGGACGAACACAGCTGACAAATAGCATCGATCCTTAGTCCTTTCCTACATACAAAGAGTGTCACTCAAGCCGATGAGACGTAGATACTCATTTGCCATACTCTTAATGTTTCCTAGCTCGAAGGGAATGAAAGTAATTCATCACTCACTCATACTCGTTCTAGAACAATATGTAAACATAGTTGCAACGCTTCAGACTCCAAACGGAGTCAAGACACAAATGATGTACATGTGACGATTCACAATCGTATCCTCTCGAGCAATCTTGTCTGCAAAGGTGGCTCTTCTACTTACAAGGTTAATAGAATGAATTGCATGGAAAGAGAGTCCAAAGATTATACGACTAGAGTTATGGGTAGGATCAGCTAAGGAGGATTACAATACCTTAGCAGATAATCGGTGCAGATTCCTCCGTAAACGAGGGGTCCACATGATCAAATTAAGAACTGATTCATACATCCCTATCTCACAAGTAGACAAGAGCTGCACTGGATTTACGTTACGTTATATGGCAAGGAGTCCTTTTCGAGAGAACATGTGCCAAAAAGAGAACAAGGCTCATGGTCGTGCCCTTCCTTCTTACATACAACCTGCACTTCCATCGTAATAGAGTGTCGATTCGGGAAAATCACACGCAGTTTGCAACCTCGAATGCAGACAGGTGATTGGCTTGTCTCCACTAAGTAGCCACGAAGTCTAACGTGTATTCTATTTTTTTTTACTACGTTCAATTCTGTGCGAAGAGCCGAACGTCAAACCTGCACAGGACGTAATCAAGTCCAACGTGTGAAGCTCTTTCTAATCTTTCAAGCTCTTGATGCAGCAAGACAACGCTTCTTTCAACGCTCTTAAAGCGAATTTCTGATACACTCGTGTTTCTTCTTTTTCTTCTCCTTCTCTTCCCTTGCTCCTCTGAACTATCTCCATGTTGTATTGATCAAGTCAGCAGGGAATAGGTTATTAGATCAGACTCGCCATCTGCACAAAAAAATTTAGGTTTGTGCCAGTAATAAGTGAGTTCCACCGGAGCAGTGTAGGATTGCGGTTCATTCCTGTTAGGATTGAGAGTCGCTACGGGACTTGTATCGACACCGTTGGCTAGGAATCGAAAAACATACAGTCGTGTTCGGACGATCCTGCAAGAAGTGTCGATTGCTAGATGTTTCAAGCATCGTGGGGCCATGGGTTGTGCAGCGTGCATGAGCATTTTTATATCTGAAACCTGTGAAATATAGACGTCACCCCCAGACTCGTCTTCAAAGACGTACAAAATCTTGTTACTGTCGAAGAAGGTGCATCAAGTGTTTAATTTTCTAGCAGAAACAAAGGACTCAGCTTTCTGGACGATGAGAAGATATGATGCAGAACGAAATTGTGGATCAGTTCAGGGGAAAATGGCAGACTAGGCGGAACGGAAGAACTGACCTACTTCCAGTGGAGTAGATATTTGCAGCTCTAATTCTTTGCAGCTAATATCTGTAGGTCTTCATGGGACGGTTTAATCTGCAGAACTTCTTGCACAGCTTTCACTACTCCAGCACAGAGTCTATCTTGCGAAGAAAACATGGATCGAAAACTTTTGCAGTGGCGCCCTCTTTCACACCATGTCACTTTGCGGAATCCACTTCATTCCGGAACAGGCGGTGCCTGCAACATAAATGCGTCGATTCGACGCCAACCCTTAGACTTTACCCTTCGAATGGCGTCCTTTGGATGATGGGGCCGCATGGTTTCAAGGTATGCGGAGCAACTGCGCGTAAGGCGAAAACAGAGCGAGGAGCATAAAGGATCTCGGGCCAGGCCGTCTTGTCGTAGTTACGTCCGGTCCTTTCAAATTATGAGCATTGTGGATGATGATGTTCCCAACCTGCCGATTCAAGATTGCCTTCTGTATGATACGAGTTCAAATCGAATATCAATGTGGGGTTGTTGGAAGGAACTGGACAGGACATGCTTAGAAGGTTGGAACCACTCCCTGTGGCTCTTAGGGTTAGGGTACAAGAGTCCAGGTTTCGGGACCTGTAGAGATGGAGATCGACTGCTTGAAGAATTGAGTAATGACAGTCAAATTTTGAAGATTGAACGAGTATGGGTGTCGGATTGTGGGTTATTAAATTTTGCAATCCGATTGACCTAATATGGGGAGCCTCTCCGATTCTTCGCAGGTGCGTATATATATTTTTTCCGGAGTACTCAAAGGTTTCCCCGTGGGAAATGTGGGTTGTACTCATTTCCGTGTGTAACATGGCAATGAGTACGACACATTTCCATGCTACACACGGAAATGCTATTAGAGTCTAAGCTCCCAAGTCTTCTTGTCCTTGTGGTAATCAATTACATCCTAGACGCAACAACTACGCTAGAGTAACACTTTCAATGCTTATGTGCCTGATTGCAACAGTTTTAAAGACTATGAATAACCTTTTTGTTTGTTGATAGCCTGAGCCGCCGAGTTATTTGCAATCGCAGTCCTTGTTTGTCCTAAAATTCTCCTCTTTCCTATTCTTCGCTCTGTATTCTCCATGGAGGTACAAGCAACTCAGAATGTACTGGAAATGGCCATTCTCGCAGCATTTTTAGGGTCAGAATATCTGCGCCTAGATTCTTCCTTATCATCCTTACTTGTTAACGATATGATGTAGTACAGCAAGAAGCATCTGTTTGGTAAACTTCTTCTGAAGTATGATAGCCATTGCTGTGGTGTTAGGGTCATGGAAGACTAGCTGCCCATGGCAGCTTAGACTCACCGAAGGGCGATAGGTCAATGATCAGTCCAACTGCGTACCGCAGTTTCTAGGATATAAATATGCTAGAAACTCATGAGAACTTGTGTTGATTTTGCGTCCTATAGCCCTTTGGCTTGTTCAAATACATCTTATTCTACCTCAATACCCTACCAAGTAAATGCTCAGAAGGTTGCCTTTGAACAGGTTGCGCTTCGTTTCTTTTGAGAAGAGTATCTATCCGGCTCTTTCTGCTGCTTGCTTGGACTCAGAGAGAAAAGTCTGTGCATATTCCACGTGGTTATAGACTAAGGTGAGCTGAATCTTTTGCCTGCCGTAGTTTGAGTTTCGAAGCCATGTTTCTGACAACAGTTTAGGTGACACCATGTGGTTACATGCATTGGTAATAACGTCGAGGAAGGTTCTGGTTTAGATAAGTCTGAGGTTCAGCACTGATAACCAGGCCAGGTTTAGTTTGTTTCCTCTAGGATCATCATGGTTGAGGCTGCAACATCTCTCATGAGCACAGCCTTCTCCATGAACCACATGGACCTCGCAACAAAAGCTGTGGAACAAGCAACGCGAGTGCTGGGACCAGTGGAATCAGCTAGCATTGGAGCACTTTCGGGAGTTATTGAGGTTTTGTTGCAGCAACCATCAGTGACAATCAAGAACGCTATTCAGGTTCGCCTTGATCAAAGAGAGCAATGGTTGCTATATTAATTGTTCTTTGTAAGTTCTTTGCAACGTTGATGAACCTGGCTGCTATCGTTCGCAAGGCATGCTTCGTGAGCAGGTGTTGAGTATTTGTTACGGCTTTTGTGTATGCTGATCCCCCGGAGCACAATATCTATGCCAAACTAACATATCTAAGCATTTCTTTCCAGGATAAGCAACCCATATCCTGGGATCCTCGGGTACTCTACAGGGGAGTGTTGGTGAATGCTACTAGTATGGCTCCAATAAGTGCAATACAATTTGGAGTAAATAGCCTTTTGACGAAAACTCTGAAAGGTAACTCAACGTTTTATGTAGGGAACGACCGACCACGACAAATCTCAATGTCTTTATAGTCTTTCAATCAGAGTAGCTTCAACTTATGTAAATCTTGATAGGGAGACAAATATGTTTGAATTAAGTCGTCGAAGGCGGATCACGACAGGCTCTCTTTTAGGCATGTTAGGATCATTGGCTTAAGGAAGCACGGAAGTTTTTGGGGGTAGGGTTCTTTGTCATCTGATGCAAGCCCAGCATCGGCTGTATCGACGCTGAATACCAATCATCCATACTTTCTCCTATTCAGAGTCCTGTCTCATATTGGGGTTGAATAACATTGTGCTCCAGGCCCTCCCAACCCTGCCCAAAGAGCGGGATTTGCATTTTCGGCCGGAGTTGTTTCGGCTATGGTGTCGGGTCCAGCGGAACTTCTCATGATTCAACAGCAGAAAACCGGATCTTCTTTGTTTGCTCAGTTGAAGAGAATCGTGAATGACCATGGTGTCCTCGCTCTTACTCGAGGACTGGTGCGAACGTTTTCTTCTCGCACAACGACATAGCAATGAATGATCATTTTCCATTCTGACATTATTATTTTGAAACAATCTCTGGAACAAGTTTAGAGTCGCCGAGTAAAGTATTTGGTCTCAGCGCCGTGTACATTGCTATTTTTTAATTTGATTCAGCATACTAGTAGCCGCAGTCATCATGTCGATTTCCACCTAGCCGATTAAAACAGTTGCCTTCTTTTTTAGCTAAACACTCCAACCCGCGGCTTCGGCAAAAGATAGCCTAATTTCACTTAATATCAGTAGAAAGCCATGGTACAGTACTATGCTTCAACGCTGCCTTAATTTTAATAGGTAGACAGAGTGTGACTTTTGTGGAATCAGTCTACAGCCTTGTGAGAAGGCTGAGAGCTGCAATGGATTCGTCATATATCCAAGGCAGGAATCCAGTCCAAAAAGATATGAAATTGTAGGAGAGTGGTAGCATAGATCTTTCCGCAGTCTCTAGTTTCTCCTTATGTACCCTCAGCAAGTCATCAAACTCAGTCAAAGAATCCAATTCAGGTGAATCCAACACTAGGTTGATGAATCCAACCTTACGTCTCTCACGGAATTGCTATGTTCAAATCAGGTACCAACTATAGTACGAGAATCAATATATACAGCCACGTATTTGGGAGTGAACCCTGTCTTACAGGAGAAGATGATGGAAGGGAGTTACCTTCAGCATCGAGCAACTCTTGCAATGTTCCTTGCAGCAGCTGTTTCTGGAACAGCAGCAGCATTGATAACTCAACCATTTGATACCATTAAAACAAGAATGCAAGCGAACATGGATTCTGTCAACTACAGGTAAGGTGGACAAATCCTAGTTAGTGTCCTAAGTAGGAACTTAGTGTCAACCATGTCAAACCTAAGATTGTTCCTAAAAGTGTTCTTATACTTTCGGACACAGTTGTAACTTGTGCCTGGCTGCGCAACAAAAGTAACCACGAGGTTAGGGCATTCCTTTCTATAATAACAGGTCTAATAGGTTCTGAGAACTGGACCTTCGGAAATTGCTATAATTGTATCATCAAGTCACGGGTGGAACGATATGCTCGGAGAAGAATTCAACTGGAATCTTTTAATCTCTACCTTCACCACAATCAACAATAAGCAGAAATGTTGAACTTCAGTTATGCATGTTTCTCTGCATCATTGATAAACCGTTTGTGGGACAACATGTGTGCAGAAAAATGAAATCAACATTGAAAACTGTGATTTTCGAGGGAGGGTTTAAGAGCTTATATTCTGGTGTAATACCTAGAACACAACGAGTTATTTGTGCCGTGTTCATATTAGGTGAAGCCAAGTCTCTTCTAACTGAATTTTATTTCAAATACATTTCGAAGTCTTGAAAACGATGAGTTGGTGTGCTTGAAGTTGTAACACAAGGAGGTCCATATATAAAGGTAGGTCATGTCGGCTCGATATCTTTGTATACAGGCAAGAAGAATTTTGATAATGTTGAGCAACTACAAGTCTAGTACTTAGTTAGCCCTCATTGGGCTCCTGCTCTTTAAGCTAGTAGCCATTGCAAATAGATGGCTTTAGAGACTGTATTCCTCAACCATGTTTTTGAAAGAGGTGTGAACCCTTCCCTCCTTGTTTTATGGTGGTTGTTGAAACTTGATGGGTGCGACATGGCAATCCTTGAAAACAATAGAGTAAGAAGTGGTCTTGTACTCTCGATCTGTGAAAGAGTAGAGCTGTTGTTGAGTTCATGATGTTACTTTTCTTCACATTACGTCCCATCGTCTACCTTTGGCGGAGACATGATTTTTCTCGCTACATTCGGTTATGTTATTACCCTTACCAACGTGGAGCAGAATGGTCATGTCTGGGAACAGATATATGTGTCCGCTTCGGTCCTCATGCTACCTTCACAATCTCGTGGAGAAAAGTGTGTTTTGTAGTGACAATGCGGACAGGTGACACAGAGTACGTCAGCCTTGTCATTTACCCTTCTGTGTCCTGCTGTATCCCTAGCTGAAAAGGCATGTGCTGATCATATCGTGCTAAGGGACCCAAGGTGCCTTTACAAGGTGCTAGTCCTTAACTCTGATTTCCAGTACTCGGACTCTGCGGGGCTGATTCTGAGCTAAACATAGGGCCTATACTTTCATTCAACTACAGAACCAACCAAGTTATTATCTGTAAAGAAGCAGTCGTAGCACTTTCAACAAGTTACAGTAACGATCATAGTCAGCAAGGAAAGGCGTTGGCTTGAATTCCACAGAAGAGCAACGTCTGCACTTATTGTTTTGGAGTGCAAATTGGGGGTATGCGCTAATGTCCAAGTGTATTTATCCGTATTATCGAATACGCCCCTCAATGGAATGTAAGACAAGCTGTCCATATGGATTTGGTGTTCAAAGCTAACGATACTGTGTTCGGCACTCACCAGTTACCAGCGCCGAGAGTGAGCGTCGAGATTAAAGTTGTTTGGTTTGAGTACAGAAGTTCTATAGTCATTATGCAGTTGTCGAGAATCGGCATCTAAGTGGAACATCTCGTGGAGAGGATCAAGATTAAAGTAACCTGCATTCTCATTGTTTCTCTGTCATACCTACCACTACAACCCTGTACGTCAGGTATACATCGGATGTCTTTCCTTTCCTCTTAGAGCTGTTGCAATGGTTAGAGGACCCAAACCTGGTAAAAGTTAATAGTTATTCTTGAGATGTCGATACTGGAGTTAAGCGTAGGCTACTGTTGTACTAAACTGGACGTCTTAGCTGGTGTATGAGAAATTTGAGAACAACTTAAGAAACACGCAATTCGTTATGGCTAAAGACTTTCAGAGAAGAGCATTATTTGAATCTTCAAAAAATAATATGAAAACTTTGTAAGTTTTCAGATTGCATACTAGAAAAAACCTTACTACGGCTTCAATTCTGGGCTCTATATGGAAAATTTAAGGAAAAATTTGAGAAGTTGAAATGAAAATTATGCTCGTTTTACTAACTTAATGTTCGCATCACATCTGCGAGTGGTTTGAATCTCAAGGACCAAGCTTGTTAAAATTTATCAACTTATGTTCGTGCTGCAATCTAAAATAATCTGTGACAAATTAATGGCGAATTAATGACAAATTAATTACATAGGTTGGAACATATCACAAGAATGATTCTCAAGAATATAAACTTATATCTTTATTGGTGCAAAAAAATGTAAGTATTATGACAAACATAGTTACATTATGTATTTTTTCTAAATATATTCACAAAAATAATAGAAATATCATCATTATGATTCCTTGAATTTGAAAAGGAGTAAAAGATGGTAGGCATTTTAACCGGATTTTAAGCTTTAGCCGGATGATAATGCACGAGAATATATTCTAAGCAAAGATGAATCCTATATTGATGGCTGCAATTCAGTAAACATTACAATATGAAGTGTGTGTATATATATATATATATACATATGTGTTTTGATGTGAATTTGGCTCGTTACAGAGAACAAACATATAATCGATTGGATGTCGAAGAACATATCGTGTGAATTTTAAATGTTAGCAGTTGACTCTAATTAGTTTAACCTCGATTAGTAAACAAATTGGTCTTTTGATACATATATAAGTTGGTGGCAAGTCTATGCCACAAAAAAATTAAGGTTTTTTTGGAAAAGTTTGCTATGTTACTAGAGCATAGCCCATAGTGGTAAACGACCTATTTTTCTGTTGTGGGCTGACTCTCTTTGTTTTTGTCTTTTTCGGTTAGCTCTATTTGCTTTTCTTTTGTTTCATCTGCACAATTGGTGTGAGAGCATTTGAGCAACAATCTCTCTCACAAGAAGGTTACTCTCTTCCACATATAGTCACCGAGCAAATGAAAGAACGAGCTAGCGAAGGCAGTATTTCATCTCCCTCCACTAACAACGCCCAAGCAAGTCTAATGGCGGGATCTAATATCATAAGTTTTAAAATTTGTGAAGCCGCATACATGACAGCGATTTTTGAGAAATTTGCAAAAGGTCAGCATTCCTGCTCCTTCCACCGCATCGGCCTTCAGCGAATTAGAGTGAAAAGAGGCCGAGAACAACAATCGAACAGTGGAGCACAAGAACGGGAAGCAAGAAAGAGAAGTAAAGCAGAAAGATGTTGTCAAACTTCTTCTTGAATGAGACGTAGTCACCCGAGTTTTGACGATCATTGCGACTTCCCCTTTTTTATTGTAACGTCGAATCACAAGTATCATTTTTCGTGTCTTGTTTATAAGTGTGGATATTAGACACGTGAAGATTTCATGTCAATCAGGCCTATAAAGGTTCGGACACAGAGAGTGAAAACAGAAAACAGAGCCTCACAAGCCATTTCATACGATAATACAAATATTTAAAAATCTTCTCTGAACAAAAATTTGAGACATTTGTATACTGGAGACTGGAATTCTACCAATTTTAGCATTATGGCTATCAATCTTGAAGCTGTAATGCTAATCATCAGACACCACTGTATATATCGCCATTGCCAGTTTTTTGGTTTTGTTTAATCCAATGAGTCTTTCGAAAACTTGTCATACTGTATTTCTTTTTAGGAAAAACCTCTCATGAGAATGCTAAGTCCTTATCAGGGTTAGAAGTAAAAAGTGTATGATGAATACGCATAATGCTTATATAACACTGGGAGAATTAATTCCGGTTTGCTTGCTTTAGAACATTATTCCTCTGTCCATCATTTTTCTCTCACTTTGGCATGACAATAGGCTGCAGTATAAACTATTGATTCGGATTTCTGAAACAAAAATAGGTTGTTCAACTGTTAAAAAAATTGGGATACCTTTTGCTTGCTTGCGGCCCACAAAAAGGTATATACATCACTCTCTGTTCCTGGACTAGTTATGGGAGCTTACGGTTTTAGACCGTATGAGTATTTGTCCAAGATCTTAACACGGACCGTCATATGAATTCATGACTGAACGACAATGAAAACTACTTCCCTTTTATTAGGAGCTATTTTCCATTCCCACTGCTTTCTACTAAATCTTTTGGAAGTTTGATAGAGACTATTCTAATGGAAGACGCACATATTGTTGAAGTCATTGTATCTCATCAATAAAAATGATTTAAAATCAAATTTTAATTGCAATTAATCATGCTTTCAACAAAACTTAAAGTTATATTTTTTTTAACATTTTACATTAATTAAATTTTTTGAAAACCATGTAAAAAAAGAACAAGGAATAAAATTTTCTTACTATTTCTTTAATATTCTAAATATATTAAATTATTCCGGATTTTTATGATAAAAAAATATTATAATGATGTTTTAGGAAATAACATGTTTTAAAGCTATTTTTCATTCACCAAGTGAAAAAATATATAATCTTCAAAATTATGTTTAAAAATTTCTCTGATTTTTATGCAGAAAGGAACAAAATTATATAAATAAATTTATAAAATTTTAATGAACTTTGAAAATTTATTATATTTTTGAATAAAATAACACAAGGTTCAATAAAGTATTGATAAAAATATATACAATTCGAAATTTCATATTATACAAAGCACAATAAATAATTCTGTTAAATAAATTGTATGAAATTGAAAAGTTAGTTTTTTTCCAATTTACTCTCCAATTAATTTTACAATGGATTATAAAAAAAGGTAAATTTAACAAATAACTCTAGATAAATTCTTTCTAATAAATTTACTATTGGATATTTGTTTAGCATTTTACCAAAAATCACAAACACATAACAATCAAGTAACAGTCAACCGCCTACACCAAGATGTAACGTGGTTCACCAAAAAGACTACATCCACAAAAAATGCATGCGTGTCTTAACGTAAAACCTAAAGCCAAGTATGAATCACACGAGACACTTATATAATGTGGTTCACCTTCAAGGGTTACATACACGGCTGAAACACGTGAGAGGGTTTACTGACAAGTAAATACACAATACTGCTTCAACAGAAGCCTTGGCCTTGGGGGTATATTTATACCCAAAGCCAATGACACACCTAGCTATAACTTGAGGTTACTCCTTAACCGGAGTTTACCTCAACAATCTTCCCCTTAACTCGTGTTAAGGAAACGATAACCTCTGTAACCTATATTATTACTCAGCGGGAAATTCTAGACAGAAATCTAGCACAAGGACACTCTTTACACGAGAGTTAACTAGAACTAGACCGTAGCCATAACAAGATAGAGTAATAACATAAAGAGTTAAATAGAAAACTTGCTTGCATAGAGAGATTAGAAATCTCATATTCTATATATTTATTTTGCGAGAAGTTTTAGACAGAAACTTAATACAAGCTCCCTCTTTACACAAGAGTTAACTAGAGCTAAACCGTAACCATCACACGATAGAGTAAATATATAAAGAGATAACTCAAGCTACTATGCTAGCAAATTCTACATGTGCTCTCCATGCACAACCTGCATGGTAGCATAGTGTCGCTTGAAATTCTCTAATAGAATAACTTTGATCAAAGCATCACCTAGATTGAGTTTATAGTTGATCGTGATTAGCTCAATCGTTTTATCAGACATTGCTTGTGTGATAAAATGATACCTGATGTCGATGTGCTTCACTCTGCTATCCATGACCTGGTTCGCAGCCAAATGTAAAGCGCTATGGCTATCACAATAAATATTAACCACGCCTTTCTTCAATCTCATTT